CTCAGGCATTCATCTTTGGGTATCTCTGTATTGAATAATCAAATGAATCGTAGAAGTGGAATCGCTATAGTGGAGGATATGTGTATTTTCACGGTTCATGGTGTATATTGCCATCCTTCTTTAGAGAGCGATTCGTACCCATTTTACATACACACCGGTAGTCTGTAAATGAGTGCTTTTTTTCTCCAAACCTTCACCATTACGAGGTATTATTTTTAATGTTTTGCTAATTTGGGAAAAATGATTTTGTTTTATTTTTCTGTAATTATTGATGAAGTTGATGTCATTAATTTTATTTCCTTTGCTAATCCCATATTTCTGTCATATCTTATATTTCTGTTGTGATCATTTTTTCCTTACTGATTTGTAAGAAACAAATATGTTTGTTATATCAAAATTTTGCTATTTTACTTTTTCTAGTTTTCTTTTTTTTAATGAATATTCTTTTTTTTTTTTAAAGTAAGCTCTACATCCAATGTGGGGCTTAAACTCATGACCCTGAGATCAAGAGTCACATGCTATATCGACTGAGCCACCCAGGCACCCCTACTTTTTCTAGTTTGTAGTTTGCTGTTTGGAGGTGTCTTTGCTGTATCGAAACAATATATAAATTATTATTTATATTTATATATATTTATAAGTTCAAGATATGAGTCTTATTGTGTGTGTGTTTGGGTTTGTGCTTAGGATGTCCTCGGTTCTTAGTTTATATATGTATTTTTTTTTCCTTTTAAAGATTTTGTTTATTAGAGAGCGAGAGCACGCACAATCAGTGGGGGGGGGGAATGGCAGGCAGAGGGAGAAGCAGGCTCCCCGCTGAGCAAGGAGCCTGATGTGGGACTCGATTCCAGGACCCTGGGATCATGACCTGAGCCAAAGGCAGATGCTTAACCAACTGAGCGGCCAGGAGTCCCTATATGTGTATTTCTTTTAGGCTTTTTGAAAGTATTGTAAATGTTACCTGTTCTTTTAAAGGACCTCAGATGGGAAATCACTTTGAGAATATTAGTATCCTTACTTTTTTTTTTTTCTTTATCCTGAGAGTCCAGGAACAAATTTAAAGGGAAAAAAAATAGTAATTTCTGTAATGTGAGCTCTCCAGGGGAAAATTTAGGCAGAAACCGAAGACTTATTGCATGTAGTCTCTAATACTGTATCTCAGCAAAAAGATGTCTTTGCTTATAAGATAATGTTATTTACCTCTAAGATTAAAGAAAAAGTGCGGCGCCTGGGTGGCTCAGTCGGTTACGCGTCTGCCTTCAGCTCAGGTCATGATCCCAGGGTCCTGGGATCGAGCCCTGTGTTGGGCTCCCTGCTCGGTGGGAAGCCTGCTTCTCCCTCTCCCTCTGCCTGCCACTCCCTCTGCTTGTGCTCTCTATCTCACTCTCTCTCCTCTCTGTGTCAAATAAACAAAGTCTTTAAAAAAAAAAGAAAAGAAAAAGTGCTGCTAATTAGACCATTAAATGCCATTGATTGTAGGATACATATTGACTTTAGAGTTTTTAAGATATGGACACATGTGGGTATTAGAATCCATGAAATGTGGCATATGTTAACTTGGACTGCTGCACAATCATTTTTATTTTTATTTTTTAAAGATTTTATTTGAGAGAGAGAGAGAGAGAGAGTGCACGTGCATGAGCAGTGGGAGGGACGGAAGGAGAGGGAGGTTCAGACTCCCCAGTGAGCAGAGAGCCCAGCACAGGGTTTGATTCCAGGACCCTGGGGTCATGACCTGAGCCAAAGGCAGATGCTTAACTGACTGAGCCACCCAGGCGCCCCTCATTTTAAAAAAATTTTAAGGTTTTTTAAGTTAAAAAAAAATTTTTTTTTTTTTAGTAATCTCCATACCCAATGTGGGGCTCAAACTCAAAACCCTGAGATGAAGAGTCACATGCTCTTCTGACTGAGCCAGCCAGGCGCCCCTGCACAATCATTTTTAAATCTTGTGGTTGCTTTGTATAGTTTGTTTTTGGGTTGGCAATTTTTTAAAAACAGCTTTATTAAGACATAATTCATGTACCATGCAATTCATCCATTTAAAGTATATGATTCAGGGGCGCCTGGGTGGCTCAGTCGCTGAGTGTCTGCCTTCGGCTCAGGTCATGATCCCGGGGTCCTGGGATGGAGCCCCGCATCGGGCTCCCTGCTCCGCGGGAAGCCTGCTTCTCCCTCTCCCACTCCCCCTGCTTGTGTTCCCTCTCTCGCTGTGTCTCTCTGTCAAATACATAAAATCTTAAAAAAAAATAAAGTATATGATTCAGTGGTTTTTAGTATATTTAGAGATAAGTGCAAACATCACTACAGTCAATTTTAGAACATTTTTATCACCTCAAAAAGAAACTCCAATACAATGGGATATTATTATTCAGCCCTAAAAAGGTAGGTAATTTTCATGTATGCTACCACATGGATAAAGCTTGGAGATACTGTGCTAAGTGAAATGTATCTGTCCTTCTCCAGTCAGAGAAGGACAGATACTGTTTGATCCCACTTCTGTGAGGTCCTCCGAGTCCTCTAATGGAGACGGAAGCTAGAATGGTGGTTGCTGCGGGCTGAGGGGAGGAGGAGTGGGAGTGTTTGATGGATATGGAATTTTAGCTGGAAGATGAACAAGTTCTGAAGATGAATGGTGGTGATAGTTGTACCACAATGTGAATATACGTGATGCTACACAATTACACACTTAAAAATGGCTAAAATGGTAAATTTCACATATATTCTACCGCAGTAGTGCCCATCCTGCTGTCCCTAAGCAGCCATTAATCTACTTTCTGTCGTGTAGATTTGCCTCTTCTGTACCTGCAGATGAAAGGAATCACACAAAGTGTGGACTTTTATGAGTGGCTTCTTGTACTTTTGCATAATGTTTTCAGGGTTTGTCCGAGTTACAGTGTGTATCAGTACTTCATTCTTTTTTGGTGGAGTAATGTTCCTTGTATGGATATACCTGATTTCATTTATCTATTTATTACTTGATGGATATGACATTTGGGTTTTTTCCAAGTTTTATGGTTATTTTAGGTTTTAACTTAAGCCCTGACGATTCTAAGAAATAAAAACCTACTCCATCTATATTAAGTAAAGGAGGACTTACTGTAAGACTATGTAGGTAGTTTAACAAGTATCCAAGGTCCAGGAAAGGAGTTCAGCAGCTTCTCTTGGGACTGACCCTGGAGGAAAGACTCAGGAGCCAAGGCAGTTGCTGCCTTGTCTCCTGGGCCTGCAAGGTCTCTTGGCTCCCCTTGTCTCTTCATGTCTACTCTATTCTGTGTCTGGACTGGCATTCTCTGCTCCCTCTGTAACCTCTCTGGCACATGCTTTGGCTCACCTTGACTCCTACTCTGGCTACTTTGCGACTCAGTTCCCTGTAGCTGAGGTTCTCAATTTTACATTCCTGGCGAGGGATCTAAGTGGTACATCCCTTGTGCACTAGGGGAGTTCACTTGATGTAAACATGGTGTCAAAGCTTCACCTTAACTAGGGGCAGATTCTCCAGAAGGAGTGTGTGCATGGAGCTGGGTGTGACTGGCCTTTCTAGGTCACTAATGCTAGTCAACCTAAAGATGACTTAATTCTCTAGGCCAGCGGTCATCAAACTTTTTGGTCTCAAGAATCCTTTATACTCTTAAAATTATTTAGGACTCCAAAGAGCATTTGCTTATGTGGGTTCTGTATGTTGATATTTACCATATTAGATATTAGAGTGGACATTTTAAAGACATTAATTCATGTAAAAATAATATAAATGTACCATATGCTAATATAAGTAACATTTTTTATGATAAGTAACTGTTTTCCAGGATAAAACAAAACTTGATGAGAAGAGTGGCATTGTTTTACATTTTTGCAAACCTCTTCGATATCTAGCTTAAAAAAAGATAGCTTTAGTCTCAAATCTGTTTCTGCATTCAGTCTTGCAATATATTGTTTTGATTGAAGTTTATGAAGAAAAGCTAATCTCATACAGATATATGTATTTGGAAAAGAGAGGGATATTTTAATAGCCTTTTTAGATAATTGTAGGTATTCTTTGATACCACACCCAGTCCGGGCAAGTGGCAATTTTTTAAAGGTTAATTGCTGTGTAGGATCTGAAACCATATCAATGAACTTTTCATATTCTATCACATTAAACATTTATTGGGTTGTCTTGTACTTTATTTGTAGTAAAATGTCTTCTACTTTAAATAAATATTACACTCATGAATAATTTTATAACATTCTGTATTGGTCATTTGGAAAATATTGATTTGTTGAATTACACAGATATTTCAAATGTTGACATATTTCATCATGTAATATCAAAAACTCACACACACACAAAAAACTCACACTTGTTAGTATCACGACCAGTCTTGACAGAAAAGTCTTTAAATGTGGGGAAGCTGTCAAGCTTATGGAAGCAGATAAAAGTGTTTCCAAAATTCAAATTTTCACAAATACTGGCAGTTGTTTTCCTTGAAGTGATAAGCTCACTTTGTTCTTCCTTGAACGCTTTCTCATCCTGAATGTCTTCTTAGGCTGTTATTTTGGGGGCAGAATTATTTAATGAAGATAACATTTCCTCTGCACAAATGCTTACCTTATAGATACTCTTGAATCTTTTTAACAATTGACTTTTTACAACCCCAGAACTGTAGATACTTGTTTCTGTAACAGATCACATTTGATTCTCAGACATTTATCCACAAAAAGGACATTTGTTGAGCATTTGCCATGTGCCAGGTCCCATGCTGAGATTGTCTATACACCTTTTTACTTTCTATAGCTACCAATATTGTTGTTTGTGATATATTAAAGAACGTTTTTTAAGTCTACAAGAAATGACTCGTTAATGTTTTTCAGACTCCAATTACTTGTATTATATTAAGTAAATACATGAGAGAAAGCTTTTACTGGTAATTGTGGTTTTATTTATGTAGCTATCGTTATAATTTATTAGAAGTACACCTGGTGCTTTAGTTCTTATCAATTCTATTTTTTCCCATCCTGTTTAGGTGGTTTCCTAGAAACATGGTTGTTTGTTGGACTTGATCTCACAGCCTGGTGAGGACTTCTTTACTGATAATGTCAAGTTCAGGTTATCCTCCCAACCAAGGAGCATTCAGCACAGAACAAAGTCGTTATCCTCCCCACTCTGTTCAGTACACCTTTCCCAGCACGCGTCACCAGCAGGTAAGGAACAAATACATGCAGTTGCATAAGTTGTGTTTGCGTGTGTTTTACTTTTCCTATTTAATACATTTGTTGATCAGAAACCAAATGTAATGTTTACATCTATACATTTTAAATGTCAAGAACCATTCTCAAAGATGGGGAGCCAAAGGCAGGGGATTAATTATCTTTGTCTTAGTATGGCATTATGCCAGATTTCAGGGGGTGAACATGTCTGTTTTTGTTTGTAGGAGTTGTTGACAGAAAAAATACCAGTTGTCTAGGGTTTCCTGTTAAGGTTAAGACCTATGTTTATTGCTCCCAAGTTCTGGTTGAGTACTAAGCTGGCCAGATAACTTGGCCTCTCTTGAGTGATGGCCAGGAGAGGGCCTATACCTTCTTGAGAGGTTGATGGCAGGACGATGAAAGAGTTTGTTTGCTGATTTGCCTTGTGAAAAATAAAACATGAGGTGAAATTATTAGCTCAGTGAGCTAGGGACGGGAGTGTAAGAGGTTTGAAGTAAAAAGGGAAGCGGAGGATGAAATGGTCATCTCAGAGAGAAAGAAAGCACGTTCACCAGTGAAGTATTATTCAGTACTATCAGAGACTCCTTTGACTGTGGTCATGATTATGGAGTGAGAATGGACATTGTTACCTTGTTCCTATTTTGGGAAACATTCACTTTTCAATATTAAGTATGTTAGTTGCATGTTTTTGTAGCTGCCCTTTTTCGGTTAAAGAAGTTGCTTTCTATTGCTAGATTGAGAATATTTATCATAATTGGGTGTTGGATTTTGGTTGCGTTGTCCTCTCTCTACCCATGTTCTTTGTCTGAATATTCCTAGATTATTGTTGCTTCTTTGTTTTCGCTTTTAATTTACTTTTTCAGTTTATATATAATAAAATTTTATTATGTGTGTATATTCTGACAGTTCATACACTCATAAAACCACCACCAAAATGAAGACGTAGAGTATTTCTGTCACCCCATCCCTTGTACTCTGTCTAGGTCAGTCCTCCTCCCCTACTTTCCACAAACCTCAGCTCCCAGGAAACCACTGCCCTGCTTTTTGTCATATCAGATTGTACTTGTTTTGAGTTTTTTTATTTTATTTTTTTTAAGGATTTTATTTATTTATTTGAGAAGAGAGAGAATGAGAGATAGCACGAGAGAAAAGAGGGTCAGAGGGAGAAGCAGACTCCCTGCTGAGCAGGGAGCCCGATGTGGGACTCAATCCCGGGACTCCAGGATCATGACCTGAGCCGAAGGCAGTCGCTTAACCAACTGAGCCACCCAGGCGCCCTTGTTTTGAGTTTTATATGAACTCTTTTATTAGTGGCTTCTTTTGCTTCCCATAATATCTTTTTTTTTTTTAAAGATTTTATTTATTTGAGAGAGAGAATGAGAGAGAGAGCATGAGAGGGGGGAGGGTCAGAGGGAGAAGCAGACTCCCCGCTGAGCAGGGAGCCCAATGTGGGACTCGATCCCGGGACTCCAGGATCATGACCTGAGCCGAAGGCAGTTGCTGAACCAACTGAGCCACCCAGGCGCCCTTCCCATAATATCTTTGAGATTTATTCATGTTCTGTGCATCTTAGTAATTAATTTCCTTTTATTGCTGGGTATGGATATACCACAGCTTATCTAGTTACCTATTCCAGTTTTTGGCTATTATAAATAAAAATTATTTAGAAAGCATGTATCTATGTGTCTGTTTTATCTAATTATATAAAGAAGTATTGCCTTATTAATTGTATTGTTGGAGAGCATCTGTTTTTAATTTTTATCAAGTCCAGTTTATTAATTTTTGTCTTTTATATTTCTTGCTTTTTGTGCATATTTAAGAAGTTTTTGCCAAACTCCAGGTCACTAAGACTTTCTTCTATGTTTTCTTCTCTAAGTTTTATAATTCTAGGTTTTACGTTTACATCTGTCACCTATTTTGAATTAAATTTTGTTTGTGATGTGAGGTAATGATTGAGGTTATTGTTTTGCATACAGCTTTCCAATAGTTCTAGAAACCATTTGTTAAAAAGATTCTTCTTTCCCCACTGAATTGCTTTGGCAATTTTTCACTGAAAATCAGTTGACCATATATGTGCAAGTCTGTTTCTCTATATTGTTTTCTCTATACTGTTCTATTGATGTATTTTGTGTATCTTCACCTCCCATCTATGTAGTTTTCCGTGTAAACAAACATGTAGTTTTTAGTAAAGAACTTCACCCTGTCTTGATTATTATAGCTTTATAATAAGTTGAAATTGAGTAGTGTGATTCTTTTCTGAATTGGTGTTTTGATATTCTAGTTGTTAACATTTCCATATACATTTTAGAATCAACTTGTCAGTTTCTACAAAAAGGCTTGCCTTTTTTTTTTTTTTTTTAAGATTTATTTTTTGGGGTGGGGGAAAGGGGCAGAGGGAGATGGAGAGAGAGTCATAAGCAGACTCTGTGCTCAGCACAGAGCCCGATACAGGGCTCAACCTCATGACCCTGAGATCACAACCTGAGCCGAAACCAAGAGTCAGATGCTTAACTGACTGAACCACCCAGGTGCCCCTTGCTGGGATTTTGATTGGATTTGTTTTGAGTCTAGAGATAAATTTGGGAGAGAATTGACATCTTAACATAACAACTTTAATTTTTCTGGTCCATGAACATGGTATAACTCCACTTATTTTGGTCTTATTAATTTTTCTCAAAAATGTTTTGTAGTTTTTAGTGCACAGGTCATGTACATCTTTTGTCACATTTGTTCCTAAATGTTTCATATATTTTTAAAAGATTTTATTTATTTGAGAGCAAGCGGGGAGGAAGGCCAGAGGGAGAGAGGGAAGCAGACTTCCTCCTGAGCAGGGAGCCCGACACAGGGCTCTATCCCAGGACCCTGAGATCATGACCCGAGCCAAAGGCAGACACGTAACTGACTGAGCCACCCAGGTGCCCCAATATTTCATATTTTTGATGCAGTTGTAAATGTATTGCTTTTCGAATTTCAGTTTTCACTTCATTGCCACTAAGTCTATTCATCTTGTATCCTGCAACCTTACTTGTTACTTTTGGTTGCTTTTTTATAGATTCCACAAGATTTTCTATTTAGATGATCCTGTAATCTGAAAATAAAGACAGTTTTGCCTGTACCTTTCCAAACTGGATGCCTTTTCTCTTTTCTTCCTTATTGTAATGGCTTTAATTGTTAGTAAAATGTTGAGGAGGTGAGAGTAGGTAGACACCCTTGACTTATTTCTCTGTCTCTCTTTTTTTAAAGATTTTATTTATTTATTTGACAGAGAGAGACACAGCGAGAGTGGGAACACAAGCAGGGGGAGACAGAAGCAGGGGGAGTGGGAGAGGGAGAAGCAGGCTTCCCGCCGAGCAGAGAACCCTGGGATCATGACCTGAGCTGAAGGCAGATGCTTAACGACTGAGCCACTCAGGTGCCCTATTTCTCATCTTAAGAGGAAGGCATTCAGTCTTTGACCATTAGGAATGTTGTTAGCAGCTGATGATGACACTTGTCATGGGAAGCATTGAGTAATGTCTAGATTTGTCAAATCAATATGTTGTACACTTGAAACTAATATAACATTGTATGCTGATTATGCTTCAATTAAAAAAAAAAGAATGTTGTTAGCTTGGGAAGTGTTCCTTCCTCCTGTATTTTCTTAAAGAGTTTGTGTAGGATTAGTATTTTTTCTTCCTTAGAAGTTTGATAGAATTTTTCAGTGAAGTAATCAGGGCCTAGAATTTTCTTTGTGTGAGAAATTTAAATTATGAATTCAATTTCTTTAATAGTTATAATCAGATTCTTTATTTTTTTCTTGAGTCACTTTGGGTAAGTTTTGTTCACTATATTACATAAGTTGTCATACTATTCCCTTTATCTTCTCAGTGTCTTTGAGATCTGTTGTGATATCATTCCTCAGGTTGATAATAAGTGTTTTCCCTTCCTTTTTTTTTTTTTATTAGTGTAGCCAAGAGGTTTATCAATTTAATTGATTCTTTTCTGAGAATAACTAACTTTGGTTTCATCCATTTTCACTATTTTTTTTAAAGATTTATTTATTTATTTGAGAGAGCGAGAATGACAGAGAGAGAGAAGAGTACATGAGAGGGGGGAGGGTCAGAGGGAGAAGCAGGCTCCTCGCTGAGCAGGGAGCCCGATGCGGGACTCAATCCCGGGACTCCAGGATCATGACCTGAGCTGAAGGCAGTCGCTTAACCAACTGAGCCACCCAGGCGCCCGTCACTATTTTTTTTTCTATTTTATTGATTTCTGCTCCTTATTATTTTGTTCCTTCTCTCATTGCCCAAATATATAACATTTCTGGAATCTTTCACTGCTTTGTGTATATTCAGGTTTCCTTTTGATACTATATTCTTTTTGCCTGAAGAACATCATTTCTCCTAGTGCAGGTCTTTTGGCAGTATACTCTCAGCTTTTATTTATCTGAAAAAGTTTATTTCAGCTTGATTTTTTTTTAAAGATTTTATTTATTTATTTGAGAGAGAATAGGAGAGAGAGCATGAGAGCAGGGGAGGGTCAGAGGGAGAAGCAGACTCACCGCTGAGCAGGGAGCTTGATGCGGGACTCAATCCCGGGACTCCAGGCTCATGACCTGAGCTGAAGGCAGACACTTAATGACTGAGCCACCCAGGCGCTCCTCAGCTTGATTCCCCCCCCCCCCAGCTTGATTTTTTAAAGAATATATTTACTTGATACAGAATTCTAAGCTTATAGTTATTTTCTTTCAGCATTTTAAAAGCTGCCGTTTGTTGTATTCTGGCTTGTATGGTTTCTGACCAGAAGACTTTTTTTTTTTTTTTTTTAAGATTTTTAAAAATCTATTTGACAGAGAGACACAGCGAGAGAGGGAACACAAGCAGGGGGAGTGGGAGAGGGAGAAGCAGGCTTCCCGCTGAGCAGGGAGCCCGATGGAGACTAGATCCCAGGACACTGGGATCATGACCTGAGCCAAAGGCAGACGCTTAATGACTGAGCCACCCAGGTGCCCCTGACCAGAAGTCTTTGATCTTTCTTATCTTTATTTATATATAAGTATCTTTTCCCCTCTTTTAAGATTTTTTTCTTTATGACTGGTTTTGAGCAATCTGATTATGATGTGCCTTTGCCGTACTTTTTGAATGTATGTGTTATTGTCTTAGGCATTCACTGAACTTCATGCTTCTGTGGGTTTATAATTTCAGGCATTATTTCTTCAGGTATGTTTTTCTGTCTACTGTCCCCCTAGGTTTTTTTGTTTGTTTTGTTTTTCTGAAACACCAGTTACTCATTTCGTATTATCCTGCTGGTCACTGGACCTCTATTCATTTTATTTTTTCTGTTTTTTTTTCTTTTGCAGTTTCCAACCTACTGTTAATTTTATCCATGGAAAAAAAATTTTTTTTAAAGATTTTATTTATTTATTTGGCAGAGAGAGACACAACGAGAGAGGGAACACAAGCAGGGGGAGTGGGAGAGGGAGAAGCAGTTGGCTTCCCTCAGAGCAGAGAGCCCAATGTGGGACTGGATCCCAGGACTCTGGGATCATGACCTGAGCTGAAGGCAGACGCTTAATGACTGAGCCACCCAGGCGTCCTCCAGTGAAATTTTTATTACAGGGCACCTGGGTGGCTCAGTTGGCTAAGTGTCTGCCTTCGGCTCAGGTCATGATCCCAGGGTCTTGGGATTGAGTCCCGCATCGGCTCCCTGCTCAGCAAGGAGCCTGCTTCTCCCTATGCCCCTCCACCCACTCATGATCTCTGTCTCTCTCTATCAAATAAATAAATAAAATCTTTAAAAAAAAATCTTAAAAAAATTTTTTTTATTACAGACATTGGATTTTTTTCTTTTTTGAGTGGAATATGAACACGGAATTTTACACATTTTAGTACTGCCTTTTGTTGTATTCCTTTAAAGAAAGTTGGATTCCTTCTGGTAGGCAGTAAATTACTTTTGAGGTTTATTTTTAAACTCTTGAAGGGCAAGTCTAGAGTAGTCTTTATTCTAAGTCTTACTTGTCCACCACTTCTAAACTTGTCTCTTCTGGGGCATTTAGTGATTATTTCATGTATTCATTGAGGTTTCTTCCCACTGGCTGGAGGAAATTTGAATGAGTTCTGGCCCTGTGTAAGCTCTGGGGATTGTTTTTTTTATAGTTCCTCCAAACTGTTCTTTCTACGAACAACCTGAGATGTTTAGGACCGGGCTGTGCTCTCCCCTGTGCATTTGCAGATCGGAATTGAGCCAAAGACCTAGAAGAACCCCAGTTCACATTTCAGGAAATCTTTCTCTATGGAATTCCCTCTTCTCAGAAAGTCTCCAGAAATGCTGTCCATATGGCTTTATCAGACTAGTGTGGTTGCTTCTTCAGTGAACAAGATTACAGGGCACTGTTGGGATTCCCTTCCCAGGGATGCAATGTGGAAATTGCCTCCAGGCAGAAAGCCTGCAGTACAGTAGGACTCACCCAGTTTGTGTGATTTTTCTCAGAGATTGAGTCCTGTGCGGCCCATTTTCCAGTGTCTGAAGATAGTTAACTACATTTTGTCCAATTTTTTGGCCGTCTACTGTGGGAATGTAACTCTGGACAGTTACGTGCTCACAGTTGGAACCTGCAGTGCACTATTGGTTTTATTTCACTCCTTACTCTTAATTTGTCTTGCTGGATACATCCATCCTTTAGAGATTTTTTCAGAGAATCTGTGGTTCGTAAATTTTCTGAGTTCTTGAATTCTGAAGTTTGTAGTCCTAAAATTTCAGGTGGTTTGGTTATTGAATTTGTGGGTTCAAAGTTGTTTTTCTCTGAACTTAGAATATGTGATTTGTCTCTTTCCCTTTTTTTTTTTTTTTTTAAAGATTTTATTTATTTATTTGACAGAGCGAGACACCGAGAGAGGGAACACAAGCAGGGGCAGAGGGAGAGGGAGAAGCAGGCTTCCCGCTGAGCAGGGAGCCCGATGTGGGGCTCGATCCCAGGCCCCTGGGACCATGACCTGAGCCGAAGGCAGATGCTTAACGACTGAGCCACCCAGGCACCCCTGTCTGTTTCCTTCTGTATAGTGTTGCTGATGAGAAGACTTTTTATTATGATCCTTATTACTTTGTAGGAAACCTATTTTATATTTTTTATGATACCTAGTCAAGTTTTCTCTTTATCCTTGCTTGTCTGAAATTTTTGTTGTGTCCATCCAGTGTGATGGATTAATTTTTAAACTATGCCCATCTTTTCTCTTAGGCCCTTTTAAGTCCAAGGACTTTATCTTTTTTAACTTCTGATAAATGCTGTTTTTCTATTATTTCTTAGAATATTGCCTCTTATCTCTGGGTATTGGAGGTTGGGACTTTTTACTCTAGCTGCCATTTTTAACTTTTCTTCTCTAATTTCTAGAGCTGCGTGCTTCACTGTGTCCCAAGAGAACGCCTCTGTTCTGTCTTTGCTTTCGTTTGCTCTTCACCTGTTCTGTTCTGTTGCTTAGTTTCACTGATCAACTTTTTAATTTCTTTGATTGCTCTTCGGTTCCTTTTTTGAGGATATCATTTATACTTTTCTTTTTTACTTTTGCTTAGTCTTTTATCTATTTCTTTGAATGTAAATTATATTTTGAGTGAGTGGTGGTGGTCTTTTTAAAGTGGCTCTGACTTGGGGCACCTGGGTGGCTCAGTTGGTTAAGTGTCTGCCTTCAGCTCAGGTCATGATCCCAGAGTCCTGGGATCAAGCCCCATGTGTCGGGCTCCCTGCTTAGTGGGGAGCCTTGCTTCTCCCTCTGTGCCACCCCCCCATCCCGCTCATGCTCTCTATCTCAAATAAATAAATAAAATCTTAAGGAAAAGGTGGCTCTGACTTTTCTTTAGTGTTTAGTGTTTCTTGATTATGTTTCCAACTTTGTATCTTTTTTCTTAGACTATGTAAAAATTATGTTTTACTATCATCTGCTTATAGCAGAGGGCTCTGGAACTCTTATCTATTCCATGTTTCAGTCTGTACTGCTCAGTTTTATATGTTTATGATTAAAAAATTTTTGTTGACATGTAATTCATATAAAACTCACCATTTTAAGGTGTATAATAGCTTTTAGTATGTTCACGGTGTTGGGCATCCATTACCATTATCTAATTCCAGAACTTTTTTTTTTTTTTAAGATTTTATTTACATGAGAGACAGAGTGAGTGAGAGAGAGAGAGAGCACACGAGCAGGTGCAGAGGGAGAGGGAGAAGGAGACTCCTCTGTTGAGCAGGGAGCCCAACGAAGGGGCTTGATCCCAGGACCCTGGGATCGTGTCCTGAGCTAAAGGCAGACGCTTAACTGAGCACCCAGGCGCCCCTTCCAGAACTTTTCTGTCACCCAAAATGAAACTCATACCTCATACTAGTTAATACCAATTCCCCTCTTCCCTCCATCCCCTGGCAACCACTAATCTGCTTTCTGTCTCTGTTGATTTGTTACTTATAGACATTTTATATAACTGGAATCATCAAATATGTGGCCTTTTATGTCTATTTTTAGTTAGCATTATGTTTTCTAGGTTCATCTGGGTTGTACTGTACTTCATTCCTTGATATGATTGAATAACATCCCACTGTATAGATCCACCACATTTTGTTTATCCATCATGAGTCACTGGGCATTTCGATTCTTTCTACTTTTTGGCTATTGTGAATAACACTGCTTTGAAAATTTGTGTATCAAGTTTTGTGTGTGGACATACGCTTTTTTTTTTTTTTTTAAGATTTTATTTATTTGACAGAGAGAGACACAGCGGGAGAGGGAACACAAGCAGGGGGAGTGGGAGAGGGAGAAGTGGGCTTCCCGTGGAGCGGGGAGCCCGATGCGGGGCTCGATCCCAGGGATCATGACCTGAGCCGAAGGCAGACGCTTAACGACTGAGCCACCCAGGCGCCCCTGGACATACGCTTTTAATTACCTCGTGTATATATGTAGGAGAAGAATTCCTGGGTTATTTGGCAGTTCTAGGTATAAGTATCTGAAAAGAAGCTTTTGTCTTTTCAACAAAAAGTCAAAAGTAGGAAAACAAACAGTAAAAACACCCACCTGGGGACGCCTGGGTGGCTCAGTCGGTTAAGTATCTGCCTTCGGCTCAGGTCATGATCCCAGGGTCCTGGGATGGAGCCCCGCATCGGGCTCCCTGCTCAGCGGGGAGTCTGCTTCTCCCTCTGCCTGCAGCTCTCCCTGCTTGTGCTCTCTCTCTCTCTCTCTCTCTCTCTCTGTCTGACAAAAAACAAAAACAAAAACAAAAACAAAACAAAACACACCCGCGGAATGATGGAGAAACTATTACTTTTAACTAGCAAGTTGAGTCTCTGGGCTCTGTCTTTTCATTTGTAAATGTACATGGATTTAACTCAGTGGCTTCTGTGGCCCTTCCAGCTCACCCATTTTTGAATTTAAGGTTGGACTGCTTTTTAGGATTTCATATTGAACACAAGAGTTTGAGATCTTACTGCTTGAAAGTATAGATCGGGAGTTACCGTAATGCGTGTTATTAGGAGAATGAGTCAATGATAGACTGAACACCAAATTTCATTTTGAATTCTTTTGAACGATACGGAGTTAAAATGTTGATTGTTTTAGGTTGATGGGGAAGAATCAGATCAGTGAAGGATGGAAATCATTATTGCTGTTTCCTTCCATACTTAGTGGCCCATAACTGCCTCTCTGCATTTATACTTGGTTTACTTTCATGACGCTTTTCACTTTTTGGCTAATAAGTAATTTATGATTCTTTTAATACTAGGAATTTGCAGTCCCTGATTATCGTTCTTCTCATCTCGAAGTCAGCCAGGCATCACAGCTCCTGCAGCAGCAGCAGCTTCGCAGACGGCCCTCCCTGCTTTCAGAATTTCACCCGGGTTCGGACAGGTAATGGCGCTCTTTTGTGTTTCCGTCTAGGATGGAATCTCTCAAGTGTGTGTGTGTACTTCACAAGTGTGCCATTGGGTTTAATGTGATTTTTTAAAGAATTTTATAACCAAGCCATGATGGGTGATTTATCGTTTATATTTTGAGGTCTTTTATGTTTGTTGATCTTTTGGAGTAGTTATCATAATAGTTAAAAAAAACCTTTTAGAACTTGTTTCCAGAGTTCACAGTTGCTGCTGTGTGGTGTGAAGTCAGGTAGACCTAGGTTGGAGTCCTGGTCAGCTTGTAGCCTTGGTCATGTGTATAAGCCGGTGTTCTTAATTTAGGATGCATATTAGAACCACCTTGGTTTTTAAACTTGTTGCCCAAGCCCCGTCTCAGAAGAATTAAATCAGTTCCTGGGATTGGGCCCAGGCATTCGTGTATGTCTAGAGTTTCCCAGGTCATTTTCATTTGCAGCTAGGGTTGGAAATTACTGATTCAGATTCTTTAAACTTCAGTTTTCTCACTTGTAATAATGAGGCTAGTAATGGCAGTGTCCTCAAAGGGGAGTATTTGTTGGCCCTTTTCATGGTGGACGTTCATTTTCCCCAATGTCCTTACCACCTCTGCTCTCTCCTTACCCCATCCTTGCTCTTAATCTAAAGTATGTTGAGCTGCTTTTATTAAATCTCCTTTCTGGCTTTCTTGTTTCAGCAATTTTATAAAGAACCTGATTTTCTATTTTAAAAATATGTTTACTATTTAGGTTTGAAGATGATAAAAGGATTGAAATTATTTGGCTGTGTTTAAAATTATTATAAAATAATTTCTTGGTGAAGGTTGTGGAGAGAATTCAGATCACCCTCCTCCATAATATCTAGCAAATATACAAAAATAGCTCTTCAAAAAGGCTAAAAATCACCCTGTATAAAGAAGGAAAGGCATATAGCCACTGCCATAAACTTGGAAAAGTGGCATTCAAGAGAGGACTTAGAAGAATCTTGCATGACTTGGCCTCCTAGTTCCTACTTCTACTCTCAAAGAAGCAGCATTGAAGAAAGAAAGAGGGTCAGTAAAATCTTAGGGTTTCTCATAAATACTCCCGAATTTGAGAAAAACGTACATGGTGAAGGTTTAGTGGTGAATTGTTTGCTTGGGAATTCCCATTGTGCCATCTGGCAGGAAAGGGCAGACTTTTTTCCCAGAGTGATGAGCCAAAGCCCTCAGGACTGGTTACATGTCTGGCTTGTAGAGGAAACCAGGATCCTCAACAAAGGCTATCAGAGCCCCAGCCAAGTTTTCCTCTCCTTTGCCCCATTTCCCTGTTCCCTCAGGCTGTAGAAAAATATAGAAAGCCAAACCCAGTCCTCTATCTGTAGACAAATGCCAGGCAAAGGACCCCTCCCCCCATTCTATACCAGAGAAAATCTGGGTAGGGCTGCACGTGTGTAGTACCTGAGCAGTAGGTAATGATGCCACGAACATGGCAGAGATATGCCTGGAAAAGAAAATTAAAGAAAGCAATACAGAGTGTCAAAATCAAAGACCCCCTATGGGTAAGAAGATGAAAACTGAAGAACTTGCTGCCTAAGTGCTATGCACTACAGGAGAAATTAAAATTAATAATAAGGTCTTTAAAAGGTACAAGGCGGGCGCCTGGGTGGCTCAGCTGGTTAAGCGTCTGCCTTCGGCTCAGGTCATGATCCTGGAGTCCCGGGATCGAGTTCCGCATCGGGCTCCCTGCTCGGCGGGGAGTCTGCTTCTCCCTCTGACCCTCTTCCCTCTCGTGCTCTCTATCTCTCATCCTCTCTCTCTCAAATAAATAAATAAAATCTTAAAAATAAATAAATAAAAGGTACAAGGCAACCCAATTAGATAAAATGAAAGCTTGGACATTCCAGTGCATCCTCTCTCTCTCAAATAAATAAATAAAATCTTAAAAAAAAAAATAAATAAAAGGTACAAGGCAACCCAATTAGATAAAATGAAAGCTTGGACATTCCAGTGCTTGGATATATATTTGATATATAAAATAAGTAAGAACAAGGACTAAAACAGGTGTGGCTAAGGTTAGACCTTTGTTGTGCAAGAAAGTCCAGAGATAATCGGAGTGGATGCAGAAGAAAAGGATAGAAATTAAAGCAATTAGAAAGAAGTTGGTAAATATGGAGGATAAATTAAAATCATCCAACATATCATAAGAACATATGTTTCTAGGTGGAGAACCTGTAAAGGAAAGGATATAATATTCATAATTTAAAAAGAACGCCTTTTTCCTGGAAAAGTGAAGGAAGAACTCTGTAGACTGATAGGGCGTACCTTGCTCCGGGGATCACTTATACAGAATGATCAACACTAAGACAGATCCTGGTTCAGTTCTTAAAGTTCAAGGATAAGTAAAATAATCAGGAATCCAGGAAGCAAAGGAAATCCTTGACAGGGAGGAAAGAGTCTGGCTTCAGGCTACTACAGTGTTAGAAGATAGTGTAGCAGTAGCTATAAAATGACACTGACATCTAAGAATATTATATGCCGCTTAATTTTAAGAATAAAAGCAACAGGCAGACAGTTTTAGACATGAAGGCACTGATCATCTAAAACTTCTTGAAGAATTTCTAGGTGATGGAATCCAGCCAAAGAATGGAAGCCATGGTGAAAGGACTGTAGTAAAACCACACACCCCTGTACGTAAAAAGTCTATGTGAGACACCTAGATGAATTATGGTTCCATCACTGAACGTCAAGAGCAAATCTTGAGAAAGTAGAAAGTGGTATAACTACAGGATCTAGAGGTAATGCAGGTATTGGGAGACTGGTTAAAGATACGCACTTGAAAAGTACGCCTGGAGTGATTTGATACCTCTAAAATAGAATTGTTAGGTTAATAAAAAAATTCCCATCTAATGCTTTTCATAGTTTTCCCCTTACCCTTTAGCAGTAATTTTTTAGGAACTAATTTCTTGTGGTAAAGGCGCATTTATCTGAAGTACAGCAATTCCTTCTTTTTCTTCTTCTTTTTTTTTTAAAGATTTATTTGAGAGAGAGAGAGCACAAGCAGGGGGAGCGGGAGAGGGAGAAGAAGCAGGCTTCCCACTGAGCAGGGAGCCCGATGTGGGGCTGGATCCCAGGACCCTGGGATCATGACCTGAGCCGAAGGTAGATGCTTAACCGAAGGCAGATGCTTAACCGACTGAGCCACCCAGGCACTCCAGCAGTTCCTTCTTTTAAGCTTTATTTCACTTTATTTTTTCTCTTAATAGCTGAATAAAAACAAACCAAATAATCTTCACTTAAAAAAATATTGTATGTGATTCTTTTGTTGCTTTGTTTTTGCCTGTACATCCATTCATCTGTATATAAGAATAAAAGTGATGACTGGGAATGGGATTCATCTAATTTTGGCATTGTTTCTGTGTGGTGGATTTGGGGTGATTTGCTACTTAGTTTTGTTCTGTATTCCTGGCAATTTTTGGTTAGCAAATCTATATCACTTTATAAACTGTGCTCTTAAAATATAAGAGTCATTTTTGGGTGAATATCATCAATCACGTTTTCTAGATTTCATCAGAAAAATTAGTCCACATAATTAGAATATTTGGATATTTAGATGAATAGATGCAGAACAGTTGAGGTAGTTTCAGATATTATAAAAGATTCACTGAAATTCAGATAATTGGTTTTCCTTTGAACAGCAAGAGAAGTCAAATCATGCTTGTAAATTTGAAAATTTAGATGAAATAAATTTTGTTTCAGAGAATAGCCTTCCATAGCTAGGCATAAAAAAAATCACTTGATGTAATTCTAGATGATTTTTGTGGACCACTGTTTTTGAATAACTATGGACCTTATGACATATTCCCCTTAAATGAGGGTTATCTTTTCTTTAAAATTTTTTTAAAAAGCGTCTGCCATCGGCTCGGGTCATGATCCCAGGGTCCTGGGATGGAGCCCCGCATCGGGCTCCCTGCTCGGCGGGAAGCCTGCTTCTCCCTCTCCCACTCCCCCTGCTTATGTTCCCTCTCTCGCTGTGTCTCTCTCTGTCAAATAAAATCTTTAAAAAAAAAAATTAAAATGATAGGGTATAGTAGGTATATTATAGTAAAAAACCCAATTAATAACTTTTTTAATAACTTTAATTTGTTTTAAAGATATTTAAAGATGATATTAAGAGGTCATGGAAGTCAGTAAAATATAAGAACTGCTAAGTTTAAAAATCTATAGAGATTTTTTTAGTATGAAAAGCTGATTTTTTTATACCTTATTTATCCATTCATCAATTGATAGATACTTGAGTTTTCACTTTTTTTTTTTTTTTTAAAGATTTTATTTATTTTGACAGAGAGGGAGACAGCGAGCAAGGGAACACAAGCAGGGGGAGTGGAAGAGGGAGAAGCAGGCTTCCCGCGGAGCAGGGAGCCCGATGTGGGGCTCGATCCCAGGACCCCAGGATCATGACCTGAGCCGAAGGCAGATGCTTAACGACTGAGCCACCCAGGCGCCCCAAGTTTTCACTTTTTGACTGTTATGAATAATGCTGCTAGGAACATTCATGCACACATTTTTATTTGACCATGGATTTTCCTTTCTCTTGAGAATATGCCTATGAGTAGAATTGCTTTATCATATGATAGTTCTCTGTTTGTTTGCCATTTGAGAAAAGACTAGACTGTTTCCAGAGTGGCAGTACCTTTCCACTGGATTTAGTTTTTAAAAGGCAGTATGTTCATTTAAAATGCAGTTTTCATGCTTAACTCCCCCAGGACTTCAATATAAAATTGTATTTGTTTTTGAAATTTTAAATGCTAAATTATACATTTATTTATCCATGAGTAGTTTTGTTCTTGTAAAAAGGATATGCAAGCTGAAATGGGAAATAGCCTGATTTCTTTTTTCTTTTCTTTCTTTTGTTTAAAAGATTTTATTTATTTGAAAGAGAGAGAGCGCACACATGAGTGGGGGTGGGGCAGAGGGACAGGAAGAAGCAGACTCTCTGCTGAGTGAAGCCTGACCGAAGGCAG